CTGAGTCCAAAGTGGAGAGATGGACTACTTTGCAGTCTGCACTGAAGGCTGAGGTTTGTAAGGGAGAATCAGAAATCTCCTTTCCCTTCTGCCAATTCCATGATACCAACCCCCATGGAGGAAACTGCTCTCCTCTGCCCTGAGAATCCAATGTCAGCAGCCTTCCTCACACCATGGCAACTCACAGCTCCTTCACTGGCCTCTCAGGATGATGGATAAGGAACATGTTTTTCTAATTCACATTGTCCAGAATTTTTCTAATTCACAAATCCCCAGATTTGTGTCCTAAATCATATCTGCCAGCCTTGGACTCTACAAGTTCTTATGTCAGCTGAGCCTTCCTGAGTTGTGATGCCAAGAGGAGGGAGATGGTTTAGCTGGTTAGTTGAAGTGCTCCCAGTTCTCAGAAAAGCTCAAATACATTCTCAGCCACTAAATGCTGCCCTTAACCAGAGAGATACATTGGGAGAATTCATCTTAATGTTTGTGCCCAAGAAGAGCAAGACATTTTTTGAGGAATTACTGTCTTAGAAAGTTTGACCAGTTTTGTAGTACCTAAAAATAGTATAATATCATGTCTATCTGGTATTCACTTTAAAATCAGGTATAGTTCAATGTACTTAATTTATCTGCTTACAAAAATGTGCTGGTTTCTGCTGGGATAGAATTTTCTTCCCAGTGGCAAGTCAGGGCTCTGTTTCGGATTTGTGCTGAACAAAGGCTTGATATTACAATGATATTTTTGTTATTGCTGAGCAGGGCTTACACAGAGCCAAGGCCTTTTCTGCTTTTTGTACAACCACATTGGGGAGGAACTTTGTGGTGCATGGGAGTCTGGGAGGGAACAAAGCCAGGACAGGCAACCCAAAATGCCAAAGGGATAGTCCAGACCATATGAAATCATGCTCAGTATGTAAAGTGGGGGGAAAATGAGAAAGGGGTGGACATTTGGAGTGATGGTGTTTGTCTCCCCAAGTAACCATTACATGTGATGAGGCCCAGCTCTCCTGGAGACGGCTGTACACCTCCCTGCTTATGGGAAGCAGTAAATTAATTCCTTGTTTTGCTTTTCATTTGTGCATGGCTTTTGCTTTTCCTATTAAGCTGTCTTTATCTCCAGCCATGAGTATTTCAGCTTTTACCCTTTCTGTTCTCTCCCTTATCTCACCGGTGGAGGAGTGAGCCAGAGGCTGTGTGGGGCTTGATGGCTGTCTAGGGTTAAGCCACAAAAAAAAGCTAACCTACTTTTGAGATAACTTTTCCTGTACTTTGTCTTATACCAGTGACAACTATGAGCACATGTGTGTGTTTGAATTTAGCCAAACTCAGCCAATTCTTTAGTGGGAAAAAGATAATCTTGTTCCTTCTTATTCTGCTGTCCACCTTCCTGCTCCTACTGCCACTTCCTGCTCCAGCAGCTGACGGCCATACACTTTTCACAGAATTCACAAAATCCTCAAAAATTTACAAGATGGGCCTGAAGACAACAGGTCTTGGGGCTTGAGAGGGGTCACCTGGGCCTCTGCCCATTTTTCTGCACCATAGATTCCCATGTGCTCTGGCACATAGCAAGCTGCTTAGCTGCTGCTGCACCACTTCAAGGAGCTTAAAATAGGACCTTCCCTCAGAGGCAAAGGCAGGGCTGAGAATGAGCAACAGCATCAGAATGAGCCTGGTTTTGCTTTTACACACACTGGCTTTCCATTGCTTTTCTAAAGACATTTCTTGTTTCTGTGGCACTCTTTAAAACAAGGAGTATCGGGCCTCTCAATGACTTCAGATGCTGCTGAAACATTTGTCATCGAATGTTAAAGCTGTTGTTTAATCACTTTACTCACAGCCAGATTCCTCTTTTTGCTTATAGAAATTTCTGCAGTCTGGTATGTGTTTTCAGGCAAGATCAAGCTGTTTTTCCAGCAAAAAGGTCTTTTCAAATCTGCAGTCATGTCTTACTTGAACTCCAGCTGGGCTCCTTTCTGAGTGCAACTTGTCATGGTCTGCAACACGTCTCTTTCCGTAGCTGTTGTTTTACTGTTCCCATTTGAAGCTGACTCTGAACTCCTCCCATTCCGTGCCCTCATCACCTCCTCATAGGAAGCGCTGGGAAATGGGGGCCTCCACCACCATGCCATGCTTGGTTTGTTGTAAGAGAGCAGAGAACACGTCAGGGCGCCCTGTTACATTACACTGTGTTGTGTTATGCTCTGCTGTGCTGTGTTGTGCTACGTTGTGTTACAAGCAGAGCGCTGCAGCCATCTGTGCAGAGCTGCAGCCAGGAATTGCATGATACATGCACGATAGAAAGCTGCTTTGCCCAAATATCTGGTGAATACTTGACAGTCTGCTATGACTAGTTTCTGTCTAACCACTGTTTCCTACCTTCATTCACTGGTTAAATGCTAGTAATAAGTCAAATTACACTTCTGGGAATTACAGTTTTTGAGACTTTTTTATTTCACAGGTCCACATTGTCTGATTTTGCAAGCTAAATGACCAGCCCAGCATCTCTCTTAATCTACTGTCATGCATGTGGCATGCCTAATCTTTTTTTCTGGGTTGTATGTAGGTTTGATTTTTGTTGGGGTTTTTGTTGGGTTTTTTTCCCTTGTCACTTAAAGCAAGAAAATTCAGTGAAAAAATCTGCCTAGTAAAGGTTAAGAATCTCCCACTGATTGTCTAAATAATAATTTTTCTTCTTCTTATCTTCTAAATAATTTCTAAAAAAACCCTTCCCCTTATCCAAGTGGATATCAAGTGTACAAGTAAATTTTCATTGATGCTTACAATAAATACTTTCTAGGACATGTCAGTTCTTTCTGACTAGGAAATGACAGCTCTTCTCAGGATGTCTTTAGAGTGCTCAGAGTAAGCAAAAGTAGACAGGAAAGTCTACTGTATCTCCAGGTACATTCCAAAATTTAATGTAGTATTGCCAGCGGACAATCTAGTGTTTGGGGGCTGTGCACAGCCCATTTTCACTGCATGCCGACATAGTTTGCAGAAAACTATTTGGTCATTTATCCACTATTGCCCTTTTTGCCTGTATTCACAAAGGGGAATAAAACAGAAAAAAAAATCTGTGTACAAACAAGTTAGACACTGATGTAGTAACAGAATGTGTAAGATGACTGCTAGCAGTAGGTCATTTCAGAGCTCACAGACAGAATAATCTGTTAATTTACATATGGCTACTACCCAGCAGTAGTGGTAAATGTGGATGGATAGAAAAAAGTATAAAAGAAAAAAAAAATCAGCAAAGTTTTCATTAAGTTTGATCGTGTGATCCAACCAAAGGGACCCATCAGAGCAAGTCACAGTCAGGTCAGGCAGCAGAAGGGGCTGCCCAGCACCCAGCCACTGCTGTCTGCCACTGCCTGCACTGGTCTCTTCAGCCTGGGGTGACCATGCAGGGAAAAACATTTCTTTCCATCCAGTAGCAGATCCACACCTTTTTTTTCCCCCAAATTTTAGTTAATCCTGCTTGAAAAAAAAATCACAGAGTCTACCAATTTATTCTGGTTAGTTATGTGTACAGACAAACCAGCCATGGGAGAGGGAATGATAGATGGATCATAGATGGGTTCCAAAGCTCTAGATTTGGAAGATCTCAGCTCCTGCTGAAATCACTGGGATTTAGGCACCTATTTCTTCTTGGAGATGATGAACCAAAACATGTCCTGCATCTCCCACAGTTAAAAGAATTCCAAAACAGGAGCAGGGCTGTAAAGCTTAATTTCTAAAAGCAGCAGTGTACCCTGTCAAAAAACTCGTGTTGTATTTCATTTGGTGGCTGCTCCAGAAATACTCTCAGCAGCTGTTGCAGCATCTTGGTTGGGATTCCTCTCACCTAACTTTAATCTTCCCAAGTGAGGCCTCCAATCTGAATTTGATCCCTTGGCCTCCCCCACAGCCAGGCAGCTCCTCCAGATGGTGACTGAGAACTCAAAAAATTTGGTGAGGGGAATTTCTGTGGCTTCGTAGTTGAATTTGTTTCAAACAACTTGTTTATAAAATCCTGCTCTGAGGAAACACCCTTTACCCCATTAAATATCACTGCAATTTGTTACATGGAGCATGACACACACAGCAACCTTGATATAAAATAAAACAATTGTGTTTGCTCATTGAGATTTCAACTGCTAAGGAGCAGTGAACCAGCAGGGAGCTGGCTGGGGATGGCCCTAAGAGCAGGGTGCTGAGCTCCTAGGGATTCCCAGGGACCCAAGAACAGAAAAAAACTACTGCTGTGGTGCCATTTCTGTCTCCAAGAATTAGGAGAAGCAGGGTGGGATGCTTTTATTTCAACAGCATTATTATTTTTTAACTGAGGGTAACAAAACCCGTAGTATCACACTAGCTGGAGATGCAGTCTTTGGCATTACTGTGGAAAGGCCTTTCCTGGGCACAGGGGAGAAAAGGAGGAGGGAAGGAATTGCTCTCTGGAGCCCATGGCACCCTCCCAGCACTGCAGAAGCCCATCTGGAGCAGCCCATGAGGATCAAGAGAGCTCCCAGGGAGCATAAAGAAATGCAGCCACTTCCTCCAGGAGCACTGGTGAAGTTCTCCATGCCACAGCTTTGTCACGTTAGCAAGCTCTGCTTAAAAGCAGCTTATCCCTCCAGGTAAAATACAGACCTCCCAAAACACTGAGCTCCTTCTACTCTGGGTAAAAAGTCATGTCTAGAACATGCAAAACTGAATTCTTTATTGTGCAGAGACATTGGGGAAAAAAAAATTAAGACAAGCACCAAGACTTTTAGTAGTATGGTAGGCTGGACTATTCATCTGGGCTGCTACTGTTGTAAATGTGTATGAGGATGGGATATTTTGCTCATTCCGGCCACCTGAAGGAGGTAATTAAATTTACCAGTGTGGTAGTCAAAGCTGTAATTAATCCTCTGCCTTTTGACTGGGGGGAATGCTTGTCAGCTGTCTCTAGTGATAAGGTGCTTCTGCACAGGGCTAAGGAATAAGGTCAGTCCTGCTGGGAGGTACGGTGGGTCTTGATTGACTTTTGGTGCCTGCTGTAGATGCTGAGAGGTGCAAGCGCAGCCTTCTCAATTCAGCTTCATAGATCTCTGCAAAAAATTACTGGTGAGTGTTTACCTGCCTGGTAAACCCTTGTGCAGCTGCTTGGCTACAGTGCAGAGGAGAGCATGGTGAAAGCTGGCTGCTGAAAGTGATTGTGTCCTTTCTAATTGTATCTGAGCATTTATTTAGCTGTCTGATTGGTGAAGTCCTTTGAAAAGCGTTGTTTTCGGAAGAGGCAGTTGTATTTTTGCATGTTGAAACTCTGGTGCTCTGATACTTAAGTTTGCAGTAGAGTTAAATTTGAGAGTAGTCTTTTCTAGCCAGACTTTTCTTGATTAGTGAGGTCTGGGCACCTATCCCTTTTGCTTGGAGGGACTGGTCCTAGCTATGCTGAAATAAGTCTGCTGGAAGAGCTGTTCTTGCTCTGGCCTGAGGTGACTTCTCATTTTCCCTCTGAAAAGGGAATTGCTCCTTTTGAACTGTTTTTTAATTTCAGCTTTTAGATCTCTTTCATGTGAAAAGGCTGTGTCCTCCTGGGACATGGTATTTCCCTTTCCTCAAACCCCAGTTCCTACCACCTCTCCAGATGGTGCTGCCTCCAGAAACCAGTTTTATCTCTGTGGGGGAAGAGGGGTCTCAATCTGTTTTTCAGTGAAAATGCCCTCTCATTCTAAGGGGTCTGCCTGTGCAAATGGTGTGAGCCCCTGTGTATTGGCCCAGGGCCACGCAGCAGAGGGGCATTTCCAAAAAGACTTTAAACTGGGGAAGGAGAGGCAGAGAGCTGCTGGGGTGTGACCCCTATCACAGCTGTGCTGTGCATATCTCAGCTTTGTGCTGTGGCTTCTACTCTGTTGGCAATTGAATTGAAATCAAAACACAACTGTATTGCTCTGATGCTCTGGCTGCTAAATAGCAGCATTGTGAATAAATCAGCGTTATTTCACAGAATCGCTTTAATGTGGCAGAATTGCAGCAATCAGGGTTTAAAGTTAGATTTAAGAGTATCTGGTAAAGAATCTGATTGGCATTCAAAGGAAAAGTGCTTTTGTTCACCCTTTCTGCAAGAGGGGGTAAGCACCCTCCAGAGGAATTAGCAGTGCTTGATGGCCAGGGTAACTCCTCATTCCTGCTCTGCCCCTGATTTTCACCCTGTAGCCTTTATCTAGACAATGTTACTTCATGCCATTTTTTTCCTAGTTTTAAGAGCACTTATTTCTTTGGTTTTCTAGTTCTGTGTGAGTCTGCTCATTTCACTGTATAAAGAACTACATAGACAGTAAAGCACCTTATCCTGCTCAATGCCACACTAACCATGTGGGAGGAAAGGAAGTGGAATTGCTCCATAGCCAAAACTGCAGGGTGCTAGTTGGAAGGACACAGTGGAATTTAAACAGTCCCTCAAGGTAACCGTGTCTTGTATTTTACAATGATAAAATGCCCCATTCAGTATTGCTGCTGTTGATGTCTGCTCTGTGTTGATCTTGGGTGCATCCCATCCTATCTCTGTTCCCATAAGGAACCTTCACCCTCTGCTGCAGCCTTTAACCAGCCCATGCTCTACAAGCCTTGAACAAAAGAATTACCCTACCCAGAGTCTAACCCCCTTTACCAGAGAGGGGGTAAGGAGAGAACGAGATTGGTCTATCTTAAAAATAAAAACCCCTCAAGAGGCTGTTGTTGCTGGTTAGATGTGAGGGAAATGAAATGTGTAGTCCAGGTGTGTCAGGTTGGGGTGGGCAGGGAGGGATGCTGACTCTCCTGGCTTATAGAAGTGATAAAGTGAGCATTTGGTGATGAGGCCTGATCCTCAAGCAGCTGCACAGCAAAATTTCTAAATTTCTGGCTTCAAACTACCCCAGCAATGCAAATGGTGACCAGGAAGGTTGACTAGGGGCTACCTGAATTTGGTTCTCTTCCAGGTATTCTGTTTAAAACATTAGTTTTTCAGGCAGGTTGAGTGTCTGTGATATGAAGGTAATTTAATTTGTCAGGTTTTGGAACCTCTGGAAACTTTCACCATGAGGCCATAGATCTAGGACTTTTTTTCCCCCCTCCCTTTGTTAAACCCATTTTTTTTTTTCTTTTTCTCTCCACAGTTTAAAATGGGTACCGAGACTTTCCATGTAGGAGCAACTGGCAGAGTGCAAAGAAGTCAAGGCTCAGTCATGGTATTTTGGGCATTCATATTCTAATGAGCTCCAGTAATGGCCCTGTGAACAAATAACAAAAATACAATTTGTTTTTTCAACCTCCTTAAAGATGGTAGGGAAAAAACCAACCTCAACTTGGCCATTAGAAAATGTTTTTTCTCTGCTGGGCATATGCTAATTAGGATTTTGCAGATTCTATCAAGAGCTATTCTAGCTTTATGTAGAACTGCCTTTAACTTCTCTAAAGTCACATTAGTACTGCCAGTCAAAAATAAGGTCTGTGGCTAGATACGCCCCCTCAAAAATCATAAAATGTAGCAATTTTTTTTTTTTAAGGTAGAGTTAATAGATATCTGTGACAACTTGATTCATACATTCATTACCAGACATGAATGAACTAATGCTTGGTTTAATTTTTGGCGTTTCTTAGCTGCATCTATGGAAGTTGTATAAAAGAACCTTTCTGTGTCAGCGTGTGCAAATTTATTTCGGTTTTTGTAATGGAAAGGATAATCTGTAGTTTGAGATCTGGCTGTGGTATTTTGGCACTAATCTGCTTCAATCTAGATCAGGCAAAATGAATTTCTTGTTTTTGATCCTTAGGACAGATCTGTTGCCACTTATAACTGCCTGTATGACAACTTCAGTGTAAAAGGCCTTTATGCTTCACAGCCTGATTAAAGACACTGAGAAAAGGTTTTTTGCGTCCTTTTTCCATTCTTGAACTAAGGAATTAAATCCGTTCCTGAGATCTGGCTATCAATAACACTAAGGTATTTCCTTCTCTGCCCAAAGTTAACCTGTTTGTACTGGAGCATTGCATGTTTTGAAATATGCACTGTTATCTTCAGTGCTATTCCCAGGGAAAAAAAGAAAGAGTAAAGCAAAAGTGGCAATTACTGGAGTGCTATACTGGACCATGAACAGAATTTCTTGCACCAGATATTCCTGACATTCCCCTCATGTGAGTAGAGAAGGGGGATGGAGAGAGCACACGGGGAAGTCAAGTTCTGCCTTATCAGACTTCCTGTACAACTTCAAAGCAGTATGACAAATACTTTCCAGAGATCTTCTGGGTCAGCAGTTTTGGGAGTCTTTCTGAAATACCTTGCCTATAATAGCTGTACAACTTGGGTGTCTGCCTTTGCTGGTTCATAAGCTCCTGCCTATCAGTACAAGCATTTCCCTAAGCAAAGCTGCCAAACTGGTTTTATCCTGCCTGCGGAGCTCACCTATCCCAGCTTACAAGGCCAGGCATGAGCTGGAAGAACCCCTGAATTTGTATGGTGTGAAACTCCCTCCCAAGTTTCATAATCAAGATGAATACATTTGACTGAAATATGGTGGGAATAACAGGCTGGGGCACTTTTCTTACCTGACTCTGATAAGTTTTTTCCTCGGAAGTTGTGATGTATATTGCATATGTCTGGTGATCTCTTGCACTTTGGTTGTAAACCATGTCCTGGATAACAATCTGGAGTTGTCTGTCAACACCATTGAAAGCTCTTTGGGTTTTGTTTTCGCAGTTTCCATGGTTCTGAGTTACTTGCAAGAGGTACTCTGTGAACTTCCTTATCCTAACTCCATAGCGGAGGTCAGGCTCCAGGAAGGTTGCCATCCTGCAAGGAATTTCATGTCATCCAAAACTCCTGAAAATATCATTAGTGAGGCATCAGCAGCCTGGAGACCCATGCGGTTATTAGGCATGTAAAACAAGATTAAAGCCTCTCTGACCTGGGGAGATCAAGAGTTTTAACTTGATCTCCAAGCAAGGTGTGACACTTGGGATGGTCCTGTGCAGGACAAGGAGTTGAACTCAGTGATCTTTGTGGGTCCCTTCCAACTCTGCATACTCTGTAGTTGCTTGGTGAAAAACACAGGTGGTTTCTTAATTGATGAGGTTTTTTGTTACTTTATTTTGCTTTCCTCTCCTTGTGTAAGAAGACTAACAAAGGATGATTTCCTCACTAGGGGTAAAGAAGGAAGATTTCTTTTAATAGGATAGGAAGTATGTTTCCTGCACAGCTTTAATGACAATATTCTTTAAGTTCTGACAGTAGTTCAGGTAAGGAGTGTCTCTGGGAAGATGGGAAACTTCCAGGAAAAAAATATTCCCCTAAAAACATCTGTTTCCAGTATTTTATGGCTTTTGTTCAAGCACAGAATTAGTCAAAGAGGCCCCACATTTGCATCCACCCTCTCCTTTTGCATGATCCAAGGGGAGGCAGAAGGTGCACAGGAAGGGAAGGCTTTGTCGTTCATATTTGTGGTTAGTCAGGCTTGAAAGGCAGCTCAGCCTTGATCCAAGCTGAACTTTGTTTTGGCTGATGGCTCTTATTCTGTCAACACCAATTCCCCCATCCAAGCTCGTCAAAGCCATTTGTAGGAGCCTGCACCTAGGTGCTCTTGTCAGTGGGGAAGGGAAATGCCATCCTCAGCTCAAACCTAAGGATTTTGCTCTCTCTGCTGGGTGAGAGCAGTGAGTGCCGGCAGGGCAGAAAGCTTTATGGTTGGGCAGTGAGTAACAGGGAGCAGCAGGGCTGACTTGGCACTTGGGGCATGTCCCTGCTGGTGTCCCAGCCTCTCCTGTAGCTTCTCAACATGGTGCTTCCTGCTCCTGCCCTTCCTGGGGGCAGCTGGAGCAGCACAGGCTGGGGCAGGGTGTCATCTGGCTCCTGCTGGGTTGCTGCAGTCAGGAAGGAACAGCCCTGGAGAAGTCTGGGCATACAGGAAGGGAACAGCTCTGGAGAAGTCTGTGCATACAGGTTGGTTCTAGCAGGCGTTGGCATTCAATAAAGCTGCAACCTGTGCCTCAGTGCTTAGCTACTTCATAGAAAGCCCCGTTGCTTACAGCATTACTCCAAGGAAATGGTGGGTTTGGCTTTTCCCCACCCTTGGAGCTTAGCTTTGCTAGCTACTCCCCACATAGCAATTCCTAGTGCATAGCAAAGTTTGGTACAGAACACAACATTTGTCAATTTGTTTGTTGTGGCCTTTGCTGAACCAAGCTGAAGCCTTAGATAACAGATAATGCCCATTAAAGCTGGGCCAATTAATATATGTACTACCAGTAAAATTCAAAATGCTGTCTGCTGCCTCCTTGTACAAATTGTCAGGTTCACACACCTTGTAAATGGCAGTACTACTGGTGATGTACCTTTAAGTCTTGATTCTTGGTTGTTGTGTATTTATTTTTGCTCACTGTGAGCTCCTCTGCAGTCACAAGAGCACAAACATCTGCACAGAATCACCTCTTGGCCTGCTAGGAGAGAAGCCTCTCTCCTCCTTACGTCTCAGAGTTTTTTACCTTTTCCTACTGTGAAATATTGTGTGAGAATGAAACCCCAAGTTGTGTTAGGTTGTGCTGGAGAAACAGCCAGGAAAAGCAAATGTGTGGAGGAAGCATTTAGAGAGCAGAGAGGTTTTTAACTGTGGGAATTGAGATCCTTCACGTGCTAAAGGGGCAGTACAATTCCCTATATATAATAGAGGGATTCTATGTATATAATAGAGGAAAACCCTTGAGAGCTATCCCAGACCCTTTGCTTAATGTTTGGGATTTCCTGTCCAGGATTGTTCATTTATTTCAGGCTTAAGTAAATGAAAAAAACATAAGCTCTGCTGGGGTCCTGTAACCACAGCCTTGAGCAAACTGTGCTCCACTGCAACAATTCCTATGGGTGAAAACTGAACCTTGGACAAAAGCAGAGGGAAGGGCATGTCCTGCTTCAGCAGGCAGGGGTGGCATGCTGAGAATGGGACCACAAAAAAGAGATCCTAGCAGGTGGGTTATCAAGGTGAGCTAGTTACTTCCCCAGAGCATCAGGTTTGGTGTGAGGTCAGGTTTTGGAGGCAACTCTTCCTGCCCATGACTTTGGCCTCATACATAGCCCTGGTCTCCAGAGGGCTGCTGCATGCCACCACAGCCTTTTGGCAAGTGAGCACACTAGTTTTGGGTTTTTGCTCCTTTTCCCCCACCCTTCACTAGTTCCTTTCCCACCTTCAAGGCTCCTCAGCCATCTCCCAATGATAATGGGACATTGATCCCCAGAACTGTGTCCCCCACCCTGGAAAGAGAAATCTCCTCTCTGGCACATAGTGCTGGATGAGTTAATTCCCAACTGAAGCATGTTTGCAGGGTGTGCTTGGGTGTTCCTTTGAGCTGGTGGCAAAGGAAACTGAGCAGGAGGTGCTAACAAAGGAGGAAGGGCCTGTCTGCAGCAGGAAGCTTTGAGAAGTAGGAATTTAAGGGATGAAAAGTTGTTGACTTGCTGTAGCTCACGTCAATCTCTGGCAGTTCTGTGTTTATAGACCTTGCATCCTCTTCCTGTTTACATCACGTTCTTATGAGCTTTGCACCTTGCATGAGAAAGGATCTGCAGTAGCTGACACCCTTTCTGAAATAGATGCTTTAAGTTATGAATTCTTTTAAGAAAAAAAAAATTTCCTTACACAGTACTACTCTTGATGGGTTTCTGGTGAGCAATTTCAAAACAATTGTTCCTTCATAAATTATAGCTGCTACTCTGTGACAGTAAAAATGTGTCAATGAAATTGCTTAAATGCTACCTTGGGTTTGGAAGTTCAAAATAACAGCATTCCAAAGTAGGGACTTAGCCATCCAATCTCCTTTGGAAGATGTAAAGTTATGGCTTTTGAAAGGACGTGGGTCCTTTGAAGTTCTGTACCTAGCTTTCCTTGTAGGAAGGGCCAAGTTCAATTTCTCATCTGGACAGTGTATGAAATTTAACATAGAGGTATTGTGACAGCTTTGGGATTGAAGATCCATCTTGTACACAGTTGTGAAGGACTTTGAAGGCCTGCAGTGATAGGTGCTGTGACAACTGGCTGAAAGTACACCATGAACTTGTGAGGAAAAGCAGCAGATGCTGAGCACACGGTCTGCGTGCAGCAAGGGGGCTGCAACACACCAAGGGAAATTAATTTGTTGCAGATGTTCTGTGACTGAGCCAAAATGAAGGGGGGCCAAGAGGGCCATATTGCCTCTGACCTGTATGCTACAAATGCTCATTTTTTCCTCCCCTCACCAGCTGCATTTATGGTGTGTGTTTGGGACAGATGAGAGATCTCACTTTAAACCTACTACTGTTCTGTATGGTAAAGAATTGGGTATCCCCTGCATCCTTTCTGTTCTCCCTTCTCCATCTGCTCCTGATGTCTGTAAGAGTAAGACAGAGTGTGCAGTGTTAGAGAGCTGAATATAGCAGCTGAATAAGGCAAAGCTTGCTGGAGTCCTTAAAGCTGTATAGCAAGCATGTACTTTGCTAATCTTAGATAGGCTTTTATGTCAGCATTTCAAAAATAACTCTGAAAGATTCCTTTTCACCGTAACTACAATAAAAGAGAAAATACAGAAGACTACTCTTGAGCTGACTTTTGAGAGGCAACAAAAGTCTGTAATTGAAGTTCTTCTCCAGGCACTTCAAGGAAGTGCAACAATACCTGGCATTTCAAACTGAAAGGACTCAAAGTCAGATTAAAAGGTTGAAGGCACTTAAGCACTTGCAGGATTTTGCCATCACTCATACACTGAGCATCTTCTATGAAATAGTTCTTAAAAATGAAGCTGTTTCCAGTGTAACACTGATGGTCAAAAGCACAACCTTGCACTACTCTTGACTCTGCTTATTCCCAGGCCTTCTGGGGCTTGGCTCTTCCTGGGACTGGCAAGCTTTTTTCTGCTTTGCAGTAATTTTGTTCAACCCTTCATGGCTGACCTCCTGAGCCTCAATCCAAGCTGTTGCTAATGGAACAAACCCAAATTATGCATGTAAGCACCTGACCTGAAGGATCCTCATCCTCACAGGTCATAGCACCTGCAGCTTCCTTAGAAACCAGTGAGAAGTCTGAGCACTACTTTACTTGGAAAAACCACTAGAGCCTCTTCAGTTCCTGTAAGGCAACAAAAGGAGATAATATAGGAGAAACATGGCTATTGTATTCCTGTTGGGATAGAATCTCAAATGCCAGTGAGATGTGGCTCTTCAGAGAAGTCTAATCACAGGGGTTTGCCGTTGTTTGGGAGGGGAGTAGTGTTTTTTCTATTCTGTTTATCTGTGGAATCCCACAAATAAAAGATAAACTAAGTCTTTTCTCCAGTGCCCTGGTTATGCCATTACACTTGGCAGCCAGGGGTGCAGACAGTAAGGAGCTGCCATGGAGGACAAAGACAGTCCTGTTTATTCACTTGAAATGCTATGATGTAAGTTCTGATCTGTGGGTTTCTTGTCCATGCACAATTTGGGAGGTGGTAGCAGCCCAGAGTGGCAGTGGGTTTGTCTGGGTCTGCAAATGCTTCCTGCTTCTCTGGGCTGCCAGGCACAAATGTTAAGCTCATTAGCATGGGAAGCCACACTCTTTTGTCTTGAACTGAGCTATATGGTAGTCCTAACCTAGCTACCCAGAGAAAGCAAACACTTACCAGGTGTTGGAAGACAGCAAATGGAGGCGAGCCTTGAATTTGGGAAGGAGCAACTCTTCAGAGACCATGAGCATTCTCTGTTCATTTTGCTCTAAATGGCCAGAGGAGAGATAACTAATGAGCCAGTAGTCAGCTGTGGTCCTTGCTGATAATGCAGCATCAGCTGTTTGGGACCTGGCTGTTCAGCGAAGTCAGGCAGGCTGCTTGGTTTCTGTCCCAAATGCTCGTGTTCTCCTCAGGAAGAAAAATCAGAACTGATCCTAATTGGCATGGCAGAGGCCACCTGCATGTGAGGGGAGGGTGAGCAGGCCCTGAGCACATGGGCTGGGACAGGACTGGCCCTGAGCAGGGAATGCTGTCTCTGTTGCTGACTGGGCTGAGAGCACAAGACAAGTCAGAGTGGCACTGATTTTGCTTTAATGGCCACTGAGGCTTGCTCTGAGATCTGATTCATCATGTGAGAGGTGAAGCTCTGACTCCAGACTGGGGATGCTAGCAGAGAATGGGAAGAGATAAGCTCTAACCAGCAGGGAGCATATCATAGAATAATGAAATGCCCTGAATTGGAAGAGATCCACAAATACAACTCTTGGCCCTGCACAGGACAGCCATGACATGGTTGTTGAAGACCTTTCTGCCTGCAGAAAATGTTATCTGTTTAGAGAAAGTTTTGTTCTTCTCCAGCATGCCTTGAGCCCTGTTCTGAGCTCAGGTTTTAGGGCTACTGGCATCTGTGTAACAGGGCTGTTGCTCTGGGTCAGATGCCAGCACAACTCTCACCCCTGAGCTGTGAGTCTGTGCTAAAGGAACACACTGCAGCTGATACCCTGGTGGATAAGGCCAGCTGTTACTGGCTGCCTACTTGTTTTCCAAGTGAAATGCACTGGAAGTGAGGCCTCCATTGCCTGGAGAGGAAGGTGGGAATGATACCTGCATTTACATCTGTTGGTGTATGGGAAGAGCTTTAAAGCTGAGCAGTTTACCCATAACCAGTGAATAGCATGGCATTTCTTCCATATGGCCAACTGTGCCTCTTCTCTTAAAATACACCTGGGAAAATAAGTGAATCATTTCTCATCAGGCTACAAGAATTTTGAAACTCCTCTCCAGGGTTCCTTCTGCACTCTTCTGTGTGCATCTTAATTTCCTGTAACAGCCCTAACTCGCTTCCCATAGGTACCCATGGGAGCCTTGTTATCGATCTCAACTGGAAAAAGAATTGTTTCTCTCCCTCATTACGGCTGCTATTAACTGGCATAGCTCTTGTCTGTCTCCATCACAGGGGCTATTTACATAATAGGTCAGAGAAGGTGAGCTGTGCCTCTGCCCTCAGAGGTGTCCCAGCAGTGTGGGGATGGAGCATGTTCTCTGTGTGGGAGGGAGCTGCTCTAGCTGCCCATCCACTGTGGAGGGCTCAGGCCTGGGGCTGTCAGACAGGGCATTCACACCCCCACATGACAGCTGGGAGAGTGATACAGGTGACAGGCTGCCCTGACGGCTGCTTTTTAATTGCCTGTTCCCAGAGCAGCCTCTGGGCTGAGCTGGCACTCGATAGCTTGTTACCTGCCCCTCCATGGGCTTCCTGCAGAGCTGCTGGGGGACAGAGATGCTCAACTGGCCTTGGAGCTTGCCTTCCTCCTCTGCATCCCAGAGTAACTTAGGCACCAGAGCTGGGGTGAGCTGCCAATTTAATCTGTGCTCTTCCCCCTACAGTACCCTCACAGAGCCCTGTGATCTTCCTCTTCAGCCCTTAGAATATCCAAACACAGGGCCAAGCCTCAAGCAGAGGAACTGGAAACAGATTGGGTGGAGAAAATACAAGGATAGTGGAGCCCCAGGAGTGTTCTAGGGCCAGGTCACAGGTCCAGCAAGAAAGATTCTGGGTTAGCTGTGGCACCCAAAAACCCTACCTAAAACCCTGCCTAAATTAGCTACCTGAACTAGTTGCATGGGAGGTCAGAGGCAGTGTAGAACAGGCTTGTCCTGGTCTTGGGCTGGCCACTGGAATGTGTCTCAGATGACGATGCCTTCCAGGGAGATCCCTTTCTTCCCTGGCTGCAGAAGAGGGGCATGATGCCCATTCCTCTGTGTGTGTGCTCCCATGCCTGCAGTGCCTCGGGCCAGCCCCTGCCCAAGGCATTTGAGGCAGGAGGGCAGGGCAAAGAGTTGGTCCTTCAGCCCTGCACAGCTGGCATGGCCAGCTCCAGCACCTGTGTTACAGCAACAGCCCCAATGCCCAGGTCTTGCCAGGTGTGTCCACACTCAGCCCGAGACCAGCACAGTGTTTGTGCTAAGTCTGTTCTCTGCAGTTAAAATCTGACTCATGTCACAGATCTCATTGCCTGATGTCTGTCCTGAATGTTTTCTTGTGCCCACACAGACTAAAAGGGATATGGAGGAAGAGATTAGAAAAATAAGCTTCTGTGGTAGGCAATAGAGTCTTCAATCCTGAGAGATCAAAGCATCAAACTTCAGTCTGGAAAAAAGGAAGGCTTGGTGCTGTGCTTTTGGGGAGGAAAGAAAATCAGAAAATGAGATTAGAGAAGTACTCATAGTTCTGCACACAGCCAGTATGCAGAGCTTGCTAAGAGCCATAGAGATCTGTAATTACATTTGTATGGATTATACTAATCCATGAATTTGTAGCCCATGGGACCTGGCCATCCTGGGCTAGAGAAATAAAGAATGATCAGGTAGTGCTTTATGATGTGCTAGTACATGTCTTGTGGCTTTTTTTCTTAACCCTAGGAGGACCTTTCTGGTGAGGTGCTGCTGCCCTTCCACAGTCTATGCTCTGGTTGATAGTGATAATTTGTCTTTTAGGGACAATGATCCTACACGCTTTAGGGAGTGGAGCTTCCATTGTACATTTAGGAGGCAAGAAAACTTTGCCGCTCTTTGAACTTGCTTTAAGGCACAGCATAATCAGGGATTTATTTAAATATAGACCAGGAAATTATGTGTTCTTATTTTCTTACTGTGGTGTTAGTCATGCAAATGCAAGAAATCTTAACAAAAATCACTGATCATACTTTACATTGTTCACCTTTGGAATTAAAGTCAGTCCAGCTTTATCTGTTTGACTTCTAACATTCCTGATTCTCTTAATGCTGTGATTTCAGGGTCTCGGTCCCCACAGGAGATGGCTCAGCTCAGGCTGCTCACTGGCATTTCACTGCTTGAATCCCAACTGTCCCTCCTGACTTTAGTAATTGCTCGGATATCTCTGACAGTAACAATTTATTTGAGAACTTTTTTAACTGCTGGGACAGAGGGAACACTTTAATAGGCTCACAGAAGAGTAATATCCTCTAAAGAAGCTGTTGAGGAATGTGGCTACTCACATATCCACCTGCAACAAGAGGTTATTGCTAAGTTGTAACACATTGCACATTGTTAAATGGACTGAAAGATAAATTTGAAAATCATCAACGTCAAAGGATCATGGCATGGGTTAAAGTAACTGACCTTTTCACTAAGATATTGAGCACCCTTCATGCCTCCTGGAACTGAGGATGCTGAAGGGGTTTCTGAAGTGACCATCTAACACATCCGGTACTGAACACTTCAGGCTTAATGGAGAACAGCAATGGGACAACTTCAGGTGATAACACCAGCTCAGTGTTTGACTGGACTCTGTTTTGTGTTACTGAGTTTGCATTACCAATGTTGTCAGCAGCCCACTAGTGAAGGTCATGCTTCTGTGTGTTCTGCAACCATTATTTGTTGGACCCTGGATCTAGTCAAAGTGTTTTCTTTAAAGATGTACAAAACCAGGCAAGGCAGATTAATTGTGCCAGGGAGTAACCCCGAGGAGTATTTTTGAGCAATCCTGTGTTTCTTGGAATTCACATTGAGGGTAAAAATGCATAAATGCATCTTCCATTTACTGGGGGCAGGGAAATAGCAATATAGAAATGGAGAGGCAGCGGGGCTCACAAGTGCCATTTGGGAAGATTTAGAACAGCAGTAAATGAATTTCTGAACTTCAGTGTGCTTGTGAACTGCTAACCTGATGTGACTGCTTCCTGGCATATAAAGCACTATAAAAATGCTGCAGCATGTGATGCTGCCATCTGCTATGAGATGGTGGCATCTTCATTGTGGCCTATAACAACAGGCCAGACTCGCAGCAGACTTCATGCGTTCCTCTGTGAAACATGGATGATTTCAGTACCCCAGACTCTTATTTTAGACCAAAATCCAGGAGCTGAGCCAGAGCATGGCCAGCCTTTGCCCCAGACACTAGTGGCTGTAAGTTCCATTAATTTTGGTGGCACTGGAATTCAGTACCTATAGTGAGAGGTGTAGGAGGAGGGAAGAGAGAGATGTACCTACTCTGGTTCACCTGTCAGACACCCAGCAGAGGGTGCAGACAGACAGCTCTGTCCTTCTCAACCACAGCTGGACCTAGTGCAGAGTGTGGGGACTGATGTGTGTTAGAGAGGGATAGCTGTCTTTGGCTTGCTCTGAGAAAGTCAGTGTTCCTTATCCTGACAAAATTTAGAAATAAAAATTAATGGAATATTCTCTTAGTCAAATAGTGCATCTGCTCTGGGCTGAAGATACTGTTGGTTCCTCAATACTACTCACCTGCTGCTCATGATAGAGTCAAGAGAGTTACAAAAACTTCATTAGGAATCTCCAAGCTGGAAATAGAGAGGAGGGAAATATGGCCCTGAGGGTGGGGAATGGAGGGGGAAGGTGAAGAGAAATATGGTGTTGTGTAGAGCATTTGAGATTTAAAACTCAGTCACACTTGCAGAGTAAGCTGATATGTGTGGTTCAAAATGGCATGTGAAATGCTGCTTTGCCAGCACTCCTGGGGATGTGCATCCTGTTCCCTGGTTCAGTGGGGCTCAATAGAGCTGTTATTCCTCCTCTGCAGACTATTTGGCACCACCTCCTGTGACATGGCTGTGGTCAAAACAGGCTCCTAGAATCACAGAGCTGCTTTAAAACTGGCTAACCACCATCTGACACAGGTACGGATGTGCCAGATCTCTCATACAAAACATGTCTGATGGGTTGAAGGAGGACTTGGCTCAACAAGATATTAGAGATTCACTGGTGGAGCGAGTTCTGGGGCAGGTGGGGACCTTTCCCTAGTCCTGCTGTGTCCCTTTGCATCTGCTGATGCTGAGCACCCTGTCACTTTGTGCACAGCCAGACTTTGGCATCATGGAGCAGTCAGCATAGCAAGGCTGCCCAGCCACACTCAGAAGCTTCCCTGGCATGGAATGAGAACTACAGCATTTATGTGAAGTAAGAAAATGTAGACCTACTTTCACTGCTAATTACTGTGTCAGAATCAGTTAATTAGCCCATGTCATGATGAAAACAGGATCTTTTATATGCAGATAGGAATTAGTGGTATCAAAGGGCTACAAGGTAGGGAAGGAGGAAATGGCCCTGTGGATTGGATATTGTGCCCTTCAAAGAGAGAATTGCAGTCTGTCAACCAGTCCTGATTATCTTGCCCTTATCTAGACAATCTCTTACCTGACTGCTGCATGAAATGTGGTATATCTGCCAGTGAACTGAGGTTTACTAATCACTCCTCTTGGTTTTGGTGGGTCATTGGTGAGACAGTCCCTCCCTCCCCCTCTCAGTGCCAAGTTGATGAGAGAGTGGTGGGAATGGCAAACTCCTCACTGCTGCCCCTGAGCGGGTGGCACGGAGGGTTTCTCTGCTGCCTTGGACTGGGCTGCCTCTTGGCAAGTGTATACTATTCATTTTATCAACTAGTAGAGAGGATACGAAGGCAGTGAAAAAGGGGCCTCCCATGTGGGGTGCAGAATAGAAATGAGCAGTAGTAGGTGGAGGAAACTCTTTGAGCAGGATGTCCCTGTGCACAGCAGGAAAATGGTGGGGAGCCATTGTTTTTTGGATTCTCTCCATGCTTGGACACAGGTTTTTACCTTGGTCAATGTACCTGTAAGGTTTCATCTGGGGGGGAAATGTTCACAACATTGCTTTAGATTAAATACTAAATTTTAAAAAACCCCAAAAATCTAAGGTAGAATTATTTTAGTCAATCCAATTATGTCATTGCTACTACCTTGAAATGCTGAAGTCCCTGAGCGGAAGGATCCAGGCTTTTACTTTAGTGCTGCAATGCCTACCTTCTGGTGCAGAGTTTCTGTGTCAAATGCCATCATTCCTGTTATTTCATGAGCACCAAAGAGATGAACTTAGAGAGGACCATCATATACCAGCTTCAAAGGGTAAAGGGACATGAGGATCCTAAGCAGAGCTCAGGTGCTGTAGGGATGTTGTTGAAGACACTAGAAGTCTAACTTCTCATTGCCTTAAGTCAAGCTTCCCTTAAGCAGCTCAGCTGTTACTCCAAAAGTAAATTGTAAATTGTTACTTAGGCTTAAAACTTATACTTGGGTCAGTGGCACTCATAAAGATGCAATTCAGAAGTGAAATGCACTTACTGGTTGCTGTTACAAGAAACCTGTGTCAGTGTCTGTCGAATCTCAGGTTTCTCTAGCATTTTAATAGCTGGAGCCGTGTCAGTGGTGTGCCTCTTGCCTGCATTTTTCTCCTGGTATCACTTTGTGACTCTCCTTGGAGAACTCCACATGATCCTACACGCTTTAATGCTCCCTCAAGCAAAACCTCTTAAAGGATTACTTTGACTGTTGATTAGAAGTGGCAGGGAACACTTGGCAGATCTGAAACTCAACAAAGAAGTGCAGTTTGCTTTCTGGGATTTCCCCCCCTCCCCCTTATCACAGAATGGTTGTGGTTGAAAGGGACCTCTGGATATATTCTAGTCATCTCCCTCCCCCCACTTCCTCGGATTCAGCTATTGCTTATGTTTCAAAGTTGTCAGATTGCAAATGATGCCTAGAAGGGCAGGTGGGGTTTGGTTCCAGTGTTTAGCCTAGAGACAGAGGGAATGCTTATTTTTAAGTGCAGGAGAAGCTCTCCTTTTGACAACTGTTCATGTAAGTTTTTATACTTTATTCTTTGCTAGAGAAGGTCTTATATCCACAAGGGGAAACCTGAAGAAGGAGGCAAGGTGTTCAGAGGGCATCAGAAGGTAGAAAGAGCAGCTGAAAATCAGTATCAGGCCCTTGGGGGAGGAGTTGAGGCTGGGGGAAGGGGATGCTTGCTGGATGCATCCATGTTAGGGGCTCCTGTTGAAATTAATTCCCTCCCCAATGCAGAGCAACACTGTCCTTCCATGTGGGGCATAGTAAAAGTTGTCAAGTCCTGCTTTTACCCCCAAGTTGCACAGGAGAAGTTGGTTCACCTCATGGTGACTCTGATATAACTTCTTGGCCACTGGCTGGGAGTTGCTGGCTCAACTTATTCAATCTGGGGGAGAATTAAGCAGCACTCAGTGGTCCAGAGCATGTGGTTGAAATCCTGTCACCAAGTCACAAGGGAAGGCTTATCTTCTAGTGGGTGCTGGATTTTGCAGTCTGTGTAGTCACACAGATTCTGCTATTTCTTATGCCAAATGCTTCCTGGAGGATGTCTCACAACATTTATTTCCTCTACATCAATCCAGAGTTATGCAAAGCCCAGCCTTACTGCAGGGCCTTTAATGATGCCTTTTTAATCTCCCCCAGCCCTACTGAAGCACTGTAGGTGTTTTCAAAACCAGCCTGGCATCCAAAGTCAGAGATACACATGAAAGAAAGGGTCTGAGCACCCTGTGCCTGATGCACAGTGCATCCTTGCCTAGAGGGTCCCCACAGACTGCTGAAGAGACCTCACTCTTGACTGGTGAATGGTGGGATCACAAAAATTAGAGAGGCACGTGGGTTTCATCCTAGCATTAGTGAAGCAATAATCACCAGAGAGTTCATCTGGCACAGCCGTGACAGCATGCAATGTTTTTATTTTAAGGGCATTGGTAAAATTTACTGGAGACTCAGACATTCTCAAAATCAGTGATGTGCTTAAAACCCTTAAGGGACCAGGACCTCTGCTCTTTCATCTGCCTTCAGCACTGGGCAGCACTTCTAATTGCTAATTTGGGGATAGTTTGGAGTCACCTATAAGGCATGAGAGGTTCATCTCTCCTCTTTCTCTAAAGCCTTTAATGATCACTAACTGAGCTGCACAGTAATCACCCTGGACTGATGTGTTAACTCCAGCTGAGGCTGGTGCAGTGCTGGAAGCCCAAGCTCACACAGCCCAGCTTTGGTAGGGTCAGATGGAGACCCAGGCTGTCCTTGACTTTTGAATTTGTTTTTGTTGTATCTCCAGGCAGATGAATTTTCTCTCCCCCTGCAAATATGGGAAGGAAGGTGTGTGAATGGAGCTGATAATCCCCTGTGAGAACCTGGGCGCTCTGGTTCAGGCATGTGGGGAGCTGACAGGGTCCTGTAGCTCTTCCTGTGATTCTGTGATGAGATTAACTCCTCTGGGGGAGCTGCTCGGGCAGGCCCCTGCCTGTCCAAAATGTGCCTTTTGCCTCCTACTTCTACCAGTGCAACTAAACTGTCTTGCCTGTCTGGGGGTGTTCTGCCAGTGCTTTTTGAAGTCATAGGGAGAAGATTTAGTAGACACTTTAGGTGTGGGGGTTAGAGACAAATGGCTCTGCTCTCTGCCTGGCTGCTCTCAGCCTCTCAAGAAGCAGATGTGTGCAAGGCTTGGATGGAAACAGCTCTCTTTGACCCAAGCCCTGGGGATCCTCACTCCCTGATGAGCATGCCTGCCTCCCCTGAGCCGCAGGCTTTTGGCAGGCTTTGACCCAAAGGAGTGAGGGAAAAGCATCTGGGCTCTGTTTATCCTCTGTGAGGGAGGATGTGTGCAGGGAGGGGGCTGTGCCCGTGCACATGTGCTGAGTGCAGGGGTGAGCGCTACCACCACCACCCGTCCCAGAGCTGATGTGCCAGCCCCTGTGCAGGGAGATCAAAGAGGAAAGCTGAAATGAAAAGATGACTACCAGCAGTGGGGGAAAAGCCTTGAATTCCAGCATGAAGCTTGCTCCTTTCTTTCCAATCAGTGCACCACTAAGGGCATGCATAAACCATATGTTAAAGGTGTTAGAGGGCTGAATGTGGAGCATATGTGTTTGAGCCTTTACCTCACGGTGGACTGACTGGGGAAAAGTTAAGCACTCTGGGAGCTCCTAACCATAAGACATCAGACACTTTGGTTAGTTTGGTCAATTTAGACTGTCTGTGCACAGGAATTAGGAATATTTTCTTCTACTGATTCAACCCCTAGAGCTAAATTACATCTCCCATAACCCAGTGACCATTAACGATTTGAGGTAAACCTTGAAGCTTACTAATATGTCTTGCAAAAGATAGGCAGACTCTGTTACCAATTTATGGGGGAAGTGAATAAAAAAATCCCTGAATGATTGCTCTGCTGACCTCAATATATCTTGTGGAAAGAACTTCCTAAAGCCCGAGAACTAAAACTGCAGAACAGGAGACATTAACCAGGTGATTTACTTCTCCTTCAGAACACAACATTGCTCATTGGGTTTTTGTTTGGCTTTATTTCCCATTTTTTGCCCACTATAGTAAACCCAATCAATATTACATTTCTAATTCAGGATAATATAAAACCCCACACATGGAAGGAAATAAAGCTGGTGATGCCTTATTGTTCCCATGTTATAACCAGGGAATGTTACTGTGCTGGAAGAGCTGCTCTGTGCTGCTGCCTTCAGTTCACAAGACTGGAGAGGAGTTCCAAGGGCAGTTGGGTGTTTGGTACAGCTATAGCAAGGAATCTGGGGGACTTGATGAGAAGACAGAGAAGAAACATTTCCCATCAGGATTAATGGAGAGAGATTGGTTTCACTTGCTACAGTTCATTATAGAAAATTAGCAGTGACAAATCATGTATGGCTGTGAGAGGCAGGGTGCTCTTTTCACCTTTTCCTTCTCGTTTAACAAATCCAAGCAGCACTGCATTGATCAGCACAAACAGCCAAGACAAGCAGTGCCTGATGGCTTGGTGTTGGTTGAGTTTCTTTGGGTTTCCTCTCTCGCAGAGGATGCTGAGCAATGCTGCCAGTGGCTGTGCTGCCCCTCAGGCTGGAGCGCTGTCCAGGTGTTGCGGCACTGCCTCTGCTCCTGGGCCACCATGTCTGGGGGCCTGTCCTCCCTGGTGCTGCACCACGGCACGTGTCCCTGGCTCCTGAGCCCATTTAACCTGCCTGCACGTGGGAGGGAAGAAATTTGCCTCATGACCCTCAGCTTCTCCCCAGCCAGGCTGTGAAGCATTTTGTAATAGCTTCAGTCTTTGCTTCCTGGGGAAGATTTACAGGAAAGCCTTCCCTAGCATTTGGTTTCACTTGCCCTTTTGAGCTAAGGTCAAGATCAGAAAATGGGTAAATAGGCCTTCCCAACTTGCTGACATCCAGTTGTTCTGTCATCCAATTCTGCTCTAAGCACCATTTTATGAAAGCATTTCTTTTTCTGTGCTTTATTTTTTTTAAGCTAGTAAGGAAAATGCATATATTTAAGGTAAAGCCCTGTGACTGTTCTTCAGTTCTACAGGTACCATACAGGCTGTATAAAACTGAATTGTGGTGTTTTCTGTGTCAAGTGCATTACATCTGGGATGCAGAAGGGCTTTATTCACAGTTTCTGGGGGAAAAAAAAAAATCAGTGGATAATTACTCTCCCTGCTAAAAATATCTTTTTTTTTCCCTTTTTTGTTTTGTGATTTCTGCTAGATGAAACAACTGGTAGGCAAATCTTTCTCCATGTAAATACTAAAGGACATGAGTGGGTCACATTTTGAGCTTTGGTTGGCAAGCTGTCTGTGCTGAATGTTGCTGGTCTTACAGCTTACATTAGTTTGTCCTAACCTCCAAAGAGGTTCTTGTGCCTCTTTTTCTGAAACCTCACTTGCTTTTACTTTGTGGGGGCACAGCAGAGTTGTCAGTACTTGTCTGTACTGTGTACAGATGCAAGGCCACATTCTTGCTCTTCAGAGCTGCCCATCTAAGTGAGGCAAATAGCTGGGTCAGCCAGTCAGCTGCTGCTCCAGGAGCTCATGTGGTTGAAACTAAAGGACTAAACTGTGATGCAGCCCTGAAGTTCTGCCTGTAGAGCTGTGCAGGGCTCCCTGCTGCTGCTCCTGAGCATTGCCCTGGAGGTTCTACTGCAGGCAAACATGGGAGTGGGCACAAAACTCTAGATTTTGGGATTGAGCTGATAGACAAAATCTTAAGCCTACTTTGACAAGAAAACAGAGAGGTCTTTCCTTTGGAGTGTCAAAGTTTCAGTGTCAGAGAAGTTATAAATTCAAGGTAATTTTCTTCTTGTAAATTGGATGGCCACTGTGAAAAGGTCTCTTAATTTTCCATTTCTCCAGTGAGATCTATCATGTGTCTCCTACCTGTGCCTGACGAGTTTAATATTCTCTCTCTCTTGCCACTTAATGTTCCTGGAGGGCTGGTTTTATTTTAAACAATTTATTCAACTTTGCAGGTGATTACAAGAACAAATAGTCTAGTCTTGTATTGACATTATGTGTCTTTGACAATGCCCCAACAACCCCCTTCCCAAAGACAGTGCTCTTCCAGATAAGGAAACAGGGAAAGTGTGGCTGAATACCATGCATGTGCAAAATTCAAACATTTTCTTACTCACTCAGCCCCAGATGTTCTTTTCCCAGGCCTCATATCCAAGTCTTCATTAGAAATTTGAGATAAATGCTTTACAGTGGCTGCTGGCTTGGCAGCTTTTCAGGTTCAGGCAGAATCTCCTTTATTCACAAGCCCTTTCTTCTTATTATTTTTTAATGCTTCTCCAGAAACTTGTATTATCATCTTTAGCAGTGCAGAAAAATATTCAATATTTTAGAGCTGCTTTGTAGCATGGTAATCTCTGAGACTAAAAAAAAAAATTTCTTGGTCCCAGCCTCATTTTTAATAGGATAGTAAACTAAGAGGATGCATGAGGATTATTCTAATCTCACCCTGGAGCTCTCTCCAGCACTACTGCCTATCTGGGACCCATTATTGAGCTGCCTACTCCAATGCTCTAGAAAACAGGCACTTATCTTGATTTAACAAGTAATGATAGCAAAAGCCTGAGCTGTCATGCTTTAGAAATAATGGATTAGCTAATTGATTGGAAAAGCAATATTAGACTGGAGCTGAACACCCTTTGGAGTGCTCTCTTCTCCTTGCTTCAGTCTTTAGTCCCTTGAGAGCATGTTTGTACACTGAGGGGGGGTATACTCAACAAAATCAACCACTCCTCTCACAAAGCACATGAAAGGGACTGCTAAAGGTGAGCTACTTTTCCTCATCTTGCAGCTCTCCTGGAGCAGTCCACTGTGTGTGCTCTGGAAGAGCAAGGGAGCTGGTGAAGAGTCTGGAACACAAATTTGATGAGGAGCAGCTGAGGGAGCTGGGGGTGTTCAGCCTGGAGAAAAGGAGGCTCAGGGGGGACCATATCACTGTCTACAACTGCCTGGAGGCGGTAGCCAGGGGAGGGTTGGCCTCTTCTCCCAGGTAACAAGTAACAGGATCAAGAGGGAATGCCCTCAAGACACACTCTAAGTGCCAGGGGAGGTTAGTGTTAGATATCAAGAAAAAATTCTTCATTGAAAGGGCTGTCAAGCATTGGATCAGACTGCTCAGGGAGGTGGTGGTGTCACCAGTGCTGCAAGTACTTAAAAAATGTGTTGATGTGGCACTTATGGATGTATTTTAGTGGTGCACTTGCTTGGCAGTGTTGGGTGAATGGATGGGCTCAGACTTGGTCTTAATCTAAATTATTTTATTATTCTGCTGCTGTAGCAGAAGAAAACACACAAAGCCTTATTTGCCTATGTAGTCATTAAACCTATTGGGTCTGGGCTTTAAACCTCTCGGGTCTAGGGACAGCACATGATCTGGGCAGGAAAGGAACTTCTTTCTGGAGATTTTCATTGTTTGCAGGTGGTGGGAGACCAGTCTGCCCAAAAGAGAGAATTTCAATATATGAGAGTGGTCCTTGGGACACCATACACACTCTCCTACCTCTCATTGTGAAAATGAATGTGTGTAAGAGCATAACTTTGGCTCAGATATTGCTGTAGCCAAGGCACAGTCATGCTGCTCTTCCTTCCGCCTTTGTCCATGGGTGAGAAACTGAGGCAAGGCAGGCAGGACTCAGCTGCACAGCAAGACTGAGTCAAGCTGGGACCTAAGTGCAGCTATTACCTGTCTGTACAGCTCACTGTGTAATACTCACTTCTCCCTCTCATACTGAAAAGAACTACATGTTGCTGTCAGGCTTTAGTCTTGAATATGTCTGTAGACTGTTTTCAAAAGACATAACAGGCTAGCCCAAGCAGACGAATTACTGCTGTCAGCAGCACAATAATAGTCTCACACATGGTTTCTTTCTCCTTTTCTTTCTTCCACTCCCTGTGATGAAACTTCTAAAATGCTGTACACTGCACAGAATGCAAACAGACATTGGGTTAGTTAAAAACATACTTCTCTTTATTTGAAAGTTTTCTATTCACAGATAAAAGGCAGCCAATACATTGCATAGTATACCTTTTTTTTAAAAGTATGCTTATTATCACATGTGTCTCAGAAAAGGAATGGTTACTGGCTCTAACTTCCCACAACAAACAATGAAGTTAATGGAACAATAAATTAAAGGAGTAGTAGTAGTCCGTGTTACTTATAAAATAGATGTTAACAGATACAAACATAACATCAACGATGACTGATTCAGTTTCCCTTCTCCTTAGAAATTCAGTGTCTTATTAGAGTGGTTGCCTAAATGGAGTTTTTATTAAGATGCAGTAGTGCTCTGAAGCTTCAAAACACAAAAGCCACACAATTTTTTTAATTGAATGGGAATATCTTCAAGAAACCTTGCTAGTGGCAATGAGGGTGCTGTTCTCCTGCCCCTGTGGTGGTCGGGTCCTATCCCTGCTGTTGACCCCTCACTGCTGCAAGGAGACAGGCCTGATGCTTCAGCTGTAGCTGATTCTGGCTCTAAGGCACTTCTAGGGCCTAACAACTGTTTACATTGCAGGCACTAAGTATTCAAAGGACAAAACTCTGCAGGGTGGGAGAGCTGGGTGTCATGAAACCTTAGTTGAGTGTACTGGCCATCATCTCTGGGACTGTTGTCATAGTCCCATATAAATGCTCCTTGCTGGAAATGCAGTACCTGGGCCCTCTGAGGTATTGAACCCCAGGCAGCTTCTATGGGCGTTAAAGAAACAGTTCTAAGAGCTATCTTATCAGTTTCAAGAGTATCTTGTCAGAGTGCTCGCTTTCCTCTTTAGCTGAACTCATGTGGGTTTCCATGAGTGCTTTCTGGCAGGCAGGTTTTGCTCTGGAGCTGTTCCTGTGCATGGGCTGAATGTCAGGGTGCCACCTGCACTTGTCTCCTGCCCTCAGCTGGAGGCAAACACCTTGTTCATCTGTTCAGGGGAGCTTCAGAAAGTGCCAGAGCTGTGGTGGGAGGTAGGTATTGAACAGGGACGTGGAGAGATAAAGTTGTCAAGCAGAGCAGCAAGAGATCTCCATTAGGGAACTGAGTAGCAGAATCCATGCAAGCTGGAGCTCCAAGAGTCTTGACCACAACATAAAGGGATGCTGGCCCATATATTACTCAGTGAGAAAAGTCAGCCATGTTCTGAATTACAGGGCTGTAATGCAGCCCTGAGGATCTGATGACTATAGAAACCACCTGAGCTCTCTGCCCTGCTTTGACAACCATATGCTCCTGGAGGCAATTATAATCCTGTTGTATGTCTCAGCTGCCTGGCACTTTTTTCCCTCCCTCCTTCTGTACTTAACACTGAGGTAGAAGTTTCAACTAGCATTAAAACACACCAAAAATTAACAGGATCTTAGTGGGAAAGTTGTCCAATGACCTTCAAAATTTGCAAAAACACAATGTGGCTATAAAATGTGACCAAAGTAGAAGAGTAATTCTAAAAATGACAGAAAAGCAGTATCAAAAAAGTACAGTATCAGTTGCAAGACATTTTCTATTGTGTTTTTAAAAATTAAGATTTAAAAAAAAAAAAATTCTCCCTCTGCAACAGAATTTTTATGGTACCAGAGATATACCGGTATCAAAGTAGAAGTACACATGAATTTTTGAAGACATTAACTCTTTTGAACAATTATCCAGTTGGCTTCAGCTGAGTACTGCTTTTATTTCCTATAAAAATACATGTTTAACTATGCATGTGTATATATTGACATACATGTCTTGCAAAAAAATCTGCATTCCTGCTGAAGCTTACAAGGAAGATCAAAGTAATGGTAGTAATCTTTACAACAAGATTTAAATGACTTCTTGTTCATACAATATTTAAATATAAGCAACACAAATCATCAACATAGGATTTTTTTTTTGCTTTACAACCCCTGTAATACTAAAGAAAGTTTATATTAATACCTAAATAAATTGAGTTAAACTACTCCTATAGGGGCTGCTGTTAGCTACCTCCACTGTACTTGATACCACAGAGCAAATGAGATCCAAATTTCAGTTGAAAGAACACGGTTAGCTTGGATTTCACCCTATTGATTTAATTATTGGCAGGAATGTGAAAATACATTCAGTGTAAGAAAGCTGTTAAAGCCAAAGAGGGAAAAAAAAAGTTCTTATTATTCTTAGAGCTATTTTCCAAGAAATACTAGATGTTCCAGCTTTAATGTTGCATTTTAAATCAGGGAAAAAATCCATGAGTAGAGGAAGACAGTGTTTATGAGCCTTCAAGGAGAACACTTCACTGACATTAAAAGCAACTTTGCAGACTCACTTGAAATGTATCAATTTGTAATCTACACATTTACAGGAGCTGCTCTGCTCTGAAAGCTGTTTCCCAATCTGTGCCAAAACATATGAGGCTGCGTAGCATACTTCTGATGATAGACCTCCAGGCTCTGTTTCTCCATAATTGATTTAGTTATTAGTTATGCAGGGGAGAGAAGAGATCCCTGAGGCTTAGTAAAACAGTATTCAGTTACTAAAAGCAGCCCTTTGTGAATTAATGTCATCCTACCAGCTCTTTCTGCTCATTATTCCTTCAAGTCTTGTTTTCCTGGACACCAGCTGTCACAGAGGAAGTCTCCAGCCTTTTCTTCTCCTGCCTCCTTGGCTGACTGAAGTTGCACCAGCACGGTCTGGAGTGTCTCCTTCACCACCTGGATCTCCCTCTGCAGAGACTGTGCAAGCTTTATTAAGGAATATTCTATAGGTGATTGGCAGTCCCTTTTCTCTTTCCAAGTTATTAAGTACATTCTTGTTCTGCTGTTCACAACAGATGGCCATGACTATCTAATTGTAGCTTCAACTTCTTCCAAATTGTTGGGATTAAATATTAATACATTTCTCACACTTGCTAGCAAAAGAAAAATGCAGGCAAACTCAAGTTCTCAAGTAGCATTATTTAGCAGTTTAAAAAAAGGAGGGGATGGGGGATACTGCTTGGACACTGCTCTCATGGGAAAAAAGGAAGGAAGGAGACAAAAAATATTGTGTACCATGGAGGCAGCAGCATTAGGTGTGAGCTCCTGATGGATGGAGGGTAGAATCTTATGACAGAGACACAGCCCAGGTGAAGGCAACAGGAGTAGTCTGAAGCAAATGCCAAGTGACTACAGCTTGTGTGGCATTAGTGAGCTCAACAACGTGTGCTATGCAAGGTGGGGTGGGAATCTAGGTAAGGAGCAAAATTAGCTTACAGCAGACAAAGTGTTTCTGCTACACTTACCTCCAGAAAGCTTTCATGTTAGCTGAATTATCATTATAATTACAGTGCAGAACACACAAACATAAAGCTATACAAGACTCCACAGGGAATGCTTTGAACAAGTTGAAAAGCAAAGAGGGCAGTAATGAGGTTGTAGTGTCGTGCATTAAAAGGAAGAAGGCCACCTGAAAAGTATCCAATAATTAGTATAAAATGCTTCATTTGGTTAAGAAAGTTTTCCACATTTCATTGCAGGGTTCCTGCAATGAATTCAGGAAGAAACTGATGGTGAATGGCTCAGCCTCTGAAAGAGACCTTCCACTTCCCTCTTTCCCAGCTCCACAGTGATGAGAGGGAGGGTGGCACGTGGTGACAACAAGGGGTGCAGACGAAGGCAGGACATTCACAGAGACGGTAGCAACTACTGACATGTGCACAAGCCTTTAAGGGACTAGGCTTCCTTGGCAGTACAGCTTTTTGTGCTATGACTGAAAATAAGTTTGTACTACCAATATACTGGGCTTTGGGCTGATAATCTTAAATCAGCAACACTATCTACTGTTGGAAGAAGTCCAAGCTCAATGAGACAACCAATTTTATCCTCTCTTCTATAGCTTACTTTGTGTGGAGAAGAAAGCAAGCAGAGGCAAGTCAGAGCCTGCTGAAATAGTAAACCAATGATCAAGTCTATGAACAAATCCTAGGGCCCATCCCATCCCACTGAGGCCTCCTGGACAGGTATGGATGAAGGGCAAAGGCACCAAAAGACAGAAATTGGTTCATTTCTAGCAGTATGTTATCAAATTATACCAGAATCTCACTTCAAGGGAAGTGAAACAGGATGACACTGAAACAACTCAGTTTCAAAAGTACAACACACTGAAATAATAATGCACAAGGACAGTCTGTCCTTTGCAGAGCTCAGACATTAGGAAATGCTGTTTTATTTAACCACAATGTTAATGCAATGTCAAGAAAAAAAGATGGGCTCAGGTTATGGGACTGTAAAAACTAAGCTGCTACTTTTGAAAAATTGTGACTGAACCATGGTAAAGCTATACCAACCACAGCTCTTTCAGGGAACCAATATTGTGTCTTTGAAAAGTCTTGGCTGCTTTTGATTCTGTTATCAATTCCCCAAAACTTCATCTTTGTGTATTTACATGCATTTGCTATGATATTTTGCTCTTAATATGTTCATGCATATTTCTAATTTCTGGACAGCTCTGTTAATCTAAAGGCCTTCTGTCTCTGATTATGAGTAGTAGCAGTACACACAAAGCTTCTCCTATCCCAGGATCACAAAGCACTGTACAAGGACAAATTAATTATGCTTTGCATCTTCTCTGAAGTAAGAAATATGATTATCCTCTTCTAAGTCCTGGATTCTCCACCCCTCTGCAACTTAATCATAAGGCTCTACTGAAAAGCTAACTGTTAAACATAAATCCTGCAATCCATGAACACCATAAACCTTCTGAAGTTTAATTCTGATGTGTAGTCTCTAGCTACATGCTGTTACTTGTAATAATATCCCAGGTAACTACAAATTCTTTTCACGTAGAGAGAAAAAGCAAAATTGAAATGTTTCAGTGACAGTAGATGAGAAATCTTAAAGGATGGAAGAAAATGAGGAAGACAGGAAAAAACCTGTCAACCAACAGAAAGATGGAGCAACAAAAAAAGATGGCTGCATAGTCTAAGTACAGCAAGTACCAATAACCTCATAAATAACACCACAATCATATGTAGACAAGTAACTGTCAAATGGGCCTTTATGGCTAAGACAAATATATGGTATATGGCTGAGCATGGCATCTCTATCCACACACAGGTTGTATCTGGAGAAACAGCTCCACCCATTTTAAAAATGAAAATAAACAGTTTTGCATGGGTCCACATGCATATGTGTCCTTCATGCTCAAATTCTCTATCCAGTGCTGCAAATATTGAGCCAGTATCCAGGGCAGGAGTGAAAACAAGTTACAACTAGGAATATTTTCTGGTTCTGCTGTCTTCCACTGAAAAAAACTCCACAATGTCAAATAAGCAGTAAATTAAAGTACTTGGGAACAAATACAACCTATATTCAACAATGCTGCAGGTCTAACATTGTCTTGCTTTAAGCTTTTCACCTATTTAACTTTGTCTCTTTGAAAAACTTGAACATCATCTCAGAGCCCATGATTTGCAAGCAGATAAAAAGAAGATAAAATTACTGTAGGGACTTAAATAAGTTTTGGAGAAAATGGGATCATTTTGCTCAAACGCAGCTTCTGATCTCTCAGCCCAGATGTTCAGGGAAAAGAGACAAAACGTAGATGTTATGGATCCGTTGTCTTCCTATAGGAAAGGTTGGAAACTGAGAGTACATATTATAAGATAAAAGACATTGGAAGGACAATGAAGAACTACTACTGCTCTGAGATAAAGGCCAATGGGATTTCAGAAAATAACTGCAGTTTTTGGACATCTGAAGAAGAAATTAGTTCTTGAAGAACAGAAATAATCAAAAAGAGGTTTTTGGTTGGGTCTTTTCTTGTTTCTAACCTGGTTAACTATTCTGTTTGTTTCCAAAAGCCAAACTCTACAGTGCCTGCAGAAAGAAGTTCAGCTCAATGTGCCACCACCTAACTGCAAGTGTCACCCCTAATCCCAGGCACCAGCATCCATGGAGGGGCCACGCCAGATGGAAAACAGCTCTGTAGAAAAGGACATTGAGGTCATGGTGGGCAATAAACTCTACACCAGCAATGCATCATGAGGCAAAGGTGCCTCCTAGGCTGGATTAACAAAAACACAGCCAGCATCCTGGACAACCACCTCTAAGTGACCCTGCTTGAGCAAGGAGTTGGACCAGACGATCTCAAAAGGTCATTTCCAACTAAATAATTCTTTGATTGTGTGTGCTACATGCCAAAGGACCAGTGAAGAGCCAAGACAGTTCAGTAACTCTTTTGAATGACTTGGGTTTTGGCCTTCTTGAAGAGCATCCTTGGGAGCAAGGGAAAGATACTAAGCAAGTCCTTGCTGTTTCTGTATGGTGTCACAGAAAGAGAGTAAAACAACCTTTGGAAATCCATAATTTCTCCTTACAAAATTCAGGGGTATTTGCAGTAGTGCAACCAATTAGAATTTTCTAAATTACCACCTTGATTACTGTTGCCCTCCTTCATATCCATGAATATTATTTCTATAAACTAAGATAATATCCCTCCCATGCAAAACCCAAAACACTCCTGCAAAAACTACTAAACAAAAAACTGCAATAGAATGACTGCTACATATTGAAAAATGGAGCCCTTCAGTGGTCTGAACATCATCTACTTTCAATTGCTTCCTCCAACAGAAAATGGAAGGCAAAGAAATTGCAGGACCTGGGTGGAAATACACTGACCTACCTCTATCAGAGCATAAAGTATACAAGTGGAACCATTCTCTGTGTGACACACAGTGGGAAAAGCTCACCCTCCTGTCATCTGAAATAAAATCAAAGAGGGTGCCATTGCCACCTCTAACTCTTGGAGGATCCCAAAACCTCTTAAAGGTTCACCCAGAGTGAGATTTCCCACTGAGCTACAGACAGGGCTAAAGTTTACATGATTCTGTTGAAAACCTGCTCTGGTGTAAAACAAGACTGGTGTGGGAGCCTGCTACAGGATAAAGGTGAATGATTAAACTTATTAGGTCACTTTGCTAACCTATGTTTAGGCACAAAATTCTGCTTTCAGAATAACTGATTGAAATGCCCATTTTAGGGCCAGGAAAGAAGATTGTTTTTGTAATAATACCACAGCTAGGTTTTCTTCCAACAAAGCATTTCCACCAAGAGGAACTATTACATGCATTCAAATTGTCTATCAAAATGTAACTACTCATTAAGAACAAAAAATGACTGTGAAATTGCAATATAGGCTCCATTTAATTTTAGTAGGAATTCCAGGCCTTTACTGTTAGGAAAGTAACACCTCTCATCAGCTCTGCAGACACCATAATGAGTCACCTCTCATCCTTTGGTTTTTCCAATTAATGATATGGCCTGTTTTCATACACTCATTAATGATCAATCATAACTGAATATTTTGCAGGTTTATTTTTATAGAATTTAGCAAATATGTCATTGTGCTACAGGGAACTTTAACATCCAGTCATGTGCCCCTGTTGTTTGATGCTTTTTATATAGAAGGGCAGTTTAGTGGTTTTTATGAAAGATTTCAACAATAAATTAGAATTGCAAGTGGGTCTGTGCCTATACTCAGGGCCAAGAAATGTCACTGGATTTCTCCTTTGTTTAAGTTGTGCTGGCACTTATGATGAGCAGCATGGTTGATTTAAGAGTGCTATGCCATCAAAACAGAATGAAAAACAATGACATCTGGGTTTTTTCTTCCAATACAAACTTAATTATTAATCAAAGCTATGACATACACTAAACACTGGAAAATGGCTCAAGAGCATTAGGAATTTATTTTTCTCAGTGGAGTCTTTGGAAGTATTTTAATAATCAGACCACAGGACTAATTTACATCTGTGCAGCTCTCTGTTAGATTTTCGACCTAATACATTTTGTTACATTTATGTGTAGTCATTTTTTTGGGAGAAATATGGGAAGGGTGAAAATAACCAGTGAATGAACTTGGAAAAATTTATCCTGCTTTCATTACTATTTCAGGTCTTTAAGCTCCTGGTCTGAGTCCACAGATTTTAATGAAAACTGCATGACTGTCCAGTATCTGTGATAGGAAATTATTTTATCTAAAACCAAATAGATTACCATGCAAACAACAGATTAATCCATTAAATAAATTCCTCTACTGAGGCTAATTGTTGTCTCTTAGCTTAGTGCTAGTTCCTGCAATACAGGCAAGTTACCAATGAGTGAAAGCAAATTGAAAGCAAATTTTATAGCCACTGAGCAGTCTTCATATTAAAAAAAAAAAAAACCCAATCCACAGGTCTGTAGCACTATGGTAGCTATTTTTCTCATTCCTTTTTGAAGTGCAGCACGGTGATTATATGTACCAGATGGTAACATTTTATGCACATTGACCTGGACTACCTCTGAAATAGCAACTTAATGTTAATGAGGGGTAGCTGAATTGCTGAACTGCTTCTTTGTACATCTCTGTTTTTTAAACATGGTTTCTTATTTTGTGACTGATGGTCATGCTAGGACCAGAATATCACATACTGTGCATTTCTGTATTTAGATAACATGAGTTGAATTTCACTGATATGGGAAGTCAGATCTCTATCAGAAAACTGTGGCTTAAAATGCGACTCATCTACAACTCTCCTGAAATTTACAATTACTAATTCTATTTTTTAACTAACTCTTGCAGTGTCAACAGCTGTGAAGAAATAGGCACACTCCATAGAACATAAGAAACACTACTATTTCACCTATATGTAGTGTACTATCTTCTGGGGACAAAAATGCAGTTTTCTAGCTTATTTCACATTACATAGTAAAGTTTAACTATGATCAGACGTGACTGTTCAGTTTGAATATTAACTTAAGTCCCCTGCAAAGCACCTATAACTCCAACCCTCAGTGTTCTGTAAGGGCCACTGAGAAAGCTCATTTGAGAGTAAATACATGCAAGGGAGAAAGGAATTGGATGCTCTGCACACACACACGAGACACACCCATACAGCTCTGAGAAAAATGCACTGGGGAAACACAACTGCAACCAAGCATGAACACTGCAAGTATAATAAAAAGAATGTTGAATAATCTTTCTGTATACTGTGTGTATATGGAAATGCTTTGAAAAGAAACATTTATAGTGACAAATTACTGACTGGATTTCTCTCCTCCAACCCAAATCCCCTTCCCTCAGCACCATTCCTCCTTCTCTCTGCCCCTTGCACTTTATCCTTCTGCCACCTTTAAAGAAACCTTCTGCTACCTTTAAAGAAAAGTTTCTGGAATAGGAATTCTGCAATGACTTATAATAGATGCCAAATTACTTAAAACACAGTGGTATTTCCACACACTATTTATTCTCTTTTCTCTAAACTATCCTCTGTAGGACTGTTCACCTTCTCTTAGCAGGAACTGAGTCCTTTCTAGCACCATCACCACCCGTACTCACATTCAGATGTCTCCAAGGGCTCCTCTGCTAATCTCTGCACTTTGAACATATCTCTCTTTCTTCGTGATCCTCTTGACTGCCCCCTCTCCTCTACTAAAACCTAACCAGCTCAGCACTCTCATCTTCCTCAGCTTCACTGGTTCGTATTTTCTTTGCCCTTTCTTAGAAGAACAAAATCCCTTTTATGAAAGTTTTTCCTATGAAAGTTACAAATGAAACAAAACTTCATGTTCTTAAATTTTGAAATAACAGTCAAGGAATTCCTCATAAAGGTTAAGTAATCTTCAGAAAAACAGACAAAGCACAGAAAGAGATAAGTGGGCATAGGACAATATCTCATCTGGTTACTTGCACTGGAGTGTTAGAGGCAGACTATAATGTGTAGGATGCCACATGAGGCATCTATTGCCCATTTTTTTAAAAAAGAAAAAACCCCAAACTACAGGTGACAATATACACAGTCTGAGTCAATAATGCAGCATCTAATTCAGATAAATCATGCTGGGAAATGCAGGTGCATGGATGTGGGATCCCAGGATTTGAATCCTGGGATGCAGGGCCCCCGGGACCACCCTTGGGGGGCCCGGGAGTCCTGGAATGTTGCCAGAAGTGCCTGGTGGCAGGACTTTGACCCTACACGGGAGACGACACCTTTATGAAGATAAGAGGGCCTCACCGGGGTGAAGGGTGGAAAGATTAGCTAATTAGAGGGTAAG